CGCATTGATTAATAAATAAATAAATTTAAAAAAAACGCGTCACATATTTATATAATAGCATTGAAGTGGGAAACTATGTATTTCTATGAGATTACTAGATATATATGTAAACAAATCTCATCAAATAGTATAAATAAAATAGAAAAAGATAGGTTGAGCTAAATTCCTTGTCAGTGACCATCATTTCTAAAAGAAAACGAAAAAAAAATTTGCTGTTCACTAAAACAAACGTTTAGTTTAAAAAAAATCATTTTTGTAACTAAAGTGATAAATCAAATCCAATTACTAAGCCCCCATAGACGGTTACGACTAAGTTTCATCATTTTCTAGCAAAAATTATAAACAAAACTCGGTCCATTAATATCAAACCCATATCAGATACGGGAAAGGTAAACTGCCTAGCTTTTAATCATGGCCTTTTCCGCAAAACGTGTCAAGGAGCTTTTTTAAAAATGGAAAAGCATTGTTCCTCCACACAACTCACGTTAACGAACCACAAGGGAACGCCAAAGATGAACGAAACTGATGAAACGTGGAGAGATTGTAAACTGGGGGCGCTTGTTTGTTCTAATGGAACAACTTTCTAACTTAATTATTAGGACGAAGGGGATGAAAAGTGTAATTTTAAATCCAACCGCTTTTGGAAGCAAAATATATCGAATTTGAGAAAAGTGAAGATACGTAATTTTCCTCGCCTACTTTGCATAAAATTGCAAATGCCGCTCTCAGTGAAGTTAATTGTAGTTTACCTTTAACATGGCTTTAACTAATCCTTACTGGTCCACGGCTCTAGCAGGAAAATTTATAGTTAGCTTTTATGCTTATTTATTTGCACAGTTTAGGATTCGTTAATATTTTCGATCATCTAAGTTCCGGTTGATACTTAAACTGATAATAAATATTAAGTTCACAAAATTAATACAATAAGTTCATTTGTTTACTGAATGTCCGTAGGCGAGAGATTTAAGTTTATATCAGTTTAAAATAATGATAATTGAATTTTTTTTAAGATTATTTTTTAAGTATCAGTACAACTTTACCTTTAACACGGCTTTAACTAATCCTTACAGGTTCATGGCCCTCTCAAATTTCAGGAAAATGTATAGTTAGCTTTGATTCTTTTTTATTTCCACAGTTGAGGATTCGTTAACATTTTCGATTATCTAAGTGTTAATTTCGGTTCATTCTTAAACTGTTAATGAATATTAAATACTCAAAATCAGTACAATAATTTCACTTATTCACAGAATGTCCGTAAGTGAGAGATTTAGGTTTATACCAGTTTAAAATAATGATATTTGAATTTTTTATAAGATTGTTAGTTTTGAAGTATCTGTACAGCTTTTTCCTCCTAAAGGTTTCATTTCAGTAAAAAGAAATAAAAAAGAACTATGTTAGGAATTATTAATTTTTGTCTAATTCTCTTGTATGCAAACGAGTTAACAAAAATTAGTAAAAATTATCCGTTGTTAAGTTCAAGCAATAAATAATCACTCAATAATATCAACCATGTATCAAAAAGTCATATCTAAAATTGTTCAAAATAATAATATGTCTGAATTTTGTATTTTTTTGACTAGTAATGATCATATATAGAATGGTTTTGCTATGAATATCCAAATAATAATGGAAATCTTAATTGTTTTAAATGCGTAAAAATTATTTAAAATTTTTCAAATTATATTTACGGCCGAAATTCGCGTTTGAACCATAAAATAGATATTAGCAGCGAAACATTAAATGGACCATATAAATTTCACTTATAAGCACTTTTAATTACATGATCTATACTAGAGGTAAAAAATACGCAATTAAAATATTTTCTTCTTAAAAAACTGAAATTTAAGAGATTTAAGTTAAAATTTTGAATACAAAGTTAATCAGTTATAAAATTTAATAAAAGTATAATAAAAGTATAATAAAACCTAAATCTTAAGCAAACCATTTTTCAATAAATAGGTACCACAAAATCATTAACAAAACTGAAAGGCAAGTAGTGACACAATTGAAGAGTTTATTGGGAGACCCAGATATAGTTCGTATTCAGAAAGAACTCCCCTAGCCACGAAGTCTAAGGCTGTTTGCGGCTATGGAAACAAGAAATAGCACACTTAAAAGAGAGAAACTTTTATCTGATTCCCTTTCTCTCGGCGACCCGATCCAAACTCTATCTTAAATAATGATCCAAGATTTAAAATAGCGAAACGTCGTAATCATTAGTCACCGCCACTACTCCAGACTAATGGCTAGGGAAGTACGTTACATAGACAAACTATAAGAAACATTTTTAGGTGTATTTACGAATCAGAGAAAATAACAGAAAGTTGCATCAATATGGGCAAGTTTAATGTAACAGAACTGCTTTAAATATTTGAAATTTTTAAAATTCGATTTCTCAGGAACTATTCGTCCGATTTCGCTCAAATTTCGAATTTTTCTTGCAAAACAGAATTTTTAAAAATAATTAAAAAATTCTTACAATTCAAACTTTTATCAACTATTATTAAATAAAATAATAAAATATTCATATGAATAATAAATATTTACTCAAAAATATTTTTTACATAAAATTATCTTTGGATAAACGAATTTTTATATTGGTGATGAAAAAAATTTTGAAATCGCTTAAAAGGTTCACAAAATATGGCAAAATACGATAAAAGTAAAATTAACCTGAATCGATCAAATCTTTGGACCAAACTATTGGGTTATATTTCCTAGATTGCTGCTACTTCCTATATTTTGGGGTTAGAAATCCATCGGAAAAATATATATTTATTCAGAGAAAATACTTTTTTGTGTCTGATTTCGTAACTTAAAATATCGCCAGCATATTTAATTAGCACATTTGAGGATGCCCCCTTGAACCATTAAGATTGAATCCTAAAAGTGAAGATCAGATCATTAAAATAAAAGTTATTCAGGGTGATCCGTTTTTCATTTTGGTGCACTGTGTATGTTATTACTTAACCAAAAAGACGTGTATTCAAAAATTAATTTCATTTGAAAGTAAAACTTCATGGATCTTGTAAACATATAATATACAAGACTAGACATAGAATAATAATATCGTGAATAACTTACTTTGTTTCGGGGCTGCTGATTTTTTTGCTTCGCACCTAGCACCATCATATCCTGGTAAACATTCACATGTTCTTACAGTTGAACCTATGTAATACCTAAAAATAAAGACAAAATAACTTAAAAATGTTGCGCATATTCATTGTGCAATCAAATCAATAAATGTTCATGGTTCGCTTCGTACTTAAAGAAGAAACAAATGCTTTATTAAATTCTTAATTATTGTTATTTTTAATTAATAATTTGTTATTTTTAATTAAATATTTGTTATTTTTAATTAATTATTAATATACCAATTTCGAAGTTTTAAGGTGGTAGAGGATCTTAGGTAGGAAGGGTCTTTATTTGCGTCGCACTAGAGCTGCACAATGGGCTATTGGCGACGGTCTGGGAAACATCTCTGAGGATGATCCGAAGACATGTCATCGCATTTCTAATCCTCTGCAGAGGGGATGACTCCCCTGTTTTGGTAGCCTAAGGACCTGCAAGCTAAGTCGANTTAAGTATCTGCACAACTTTACCTTTAACACGGCTTTAACTAATCCTTACAGGTTCATGGCCCTCTCAAATTTCAGGAAAATTTATAGTTAGCTTTGATTCTTTTTTATTTCCACAGTTGAGGATTCGTTAACATTTTCGATTATCTAAGTGTTAGTTTCGGTTCATACTTAAACTGTTAATGAATATTAAATACATAAAATTAATACAATAAGTTCACGTATTCACAGAATGTCCGTACGCGAGAGATTTAAGTTTCTTACAGTTTAAAATAAAGATATTTGAATATTATTTTTAAGATTATTTTTTTTAAGTATCTGCACAACTTTACCTTTAACATAGCTTTAACTAATCCTTACTGGTTCATAGCTCTCGGCAATTTCAGAAAAATTTATAGTTAGCTTTTATACTTATTTATTTGCACAGTTTAGGATTCATTAACATTTTCGATCATCTAAGTGTTAGTTTCGGTTCATACTTAAACTGTTAATGAATATTAAATACATAAAATTAATACAATAAGTTCACGTATTCACAGAATGTCCGTAAGCGAGAGACTTAAGTTTATATTAATTTAAAATAATGATAATTGAATTTTTTTTGAAAGATTATTTTTTAAGTATCTTTGCAACCTTTCCTCCTAAAGATTAAATTTTAGTAAAAATAAATAAAAAAGAACTATGCTAGGAAATATTAATTTTTGTCTATTCGCTTGTATGCATACGAGTTAACAAAAATTAGTAAAAATGATACGTTGTAAGTTCAAGCAATAAATAATCACTCATTAATATAAAAAATGTATCAAAAAGTTGTGTCAAATTAATCCAAAATTGTTTGAAATAATAATGTCTGAATATTGCATTGTCTCGACTTGTAATGATTATGTATAGAATGGTTTAGCCATAATATCCAAATAATAATGGAAATCGTAATTGTTTTAAATGCCTAAAAATTATTAAAAATTTTCCAAAATATATTTAGGATCGAAATTTGCGTACAAATCATAAAATAGGTCTTAGCAGCGAAACATTAAATAGACCATATGAATTATATTTTGGGGTCAGAAATTTGAATCCATCGGAAAAAAGGTGTGTCAGGTGAATCCATCGGATGTTCAGAGAAAATACGTTTTTGTGTCTGATTTCGTAACTTAAAATATCGCCAGTATATTTAATTAGCATATTTGAGGTTACCCCCTTGAACCATTAAGATTGAATTCTAAAACAAGAAGATCCGATCATTAGAATAAAAGTTATTCAGGGTGGTTCATTTTTTATTTGGTGCACTGTGCTTGTTATTACTTAATTAAAAAGACGAGTTTTCAAAAATTAACTTCAGTTGAAAGTAAAAATTCCAAGGACCTTGTAAATATAGAATATACAAGACTAAGACATAGAATAATAAGATCGTGAATAACTTACTTTGTTTCGGGGCTGTTGATTTTTTGGCTTCGCACCTAGCACCATCATATCCTGGTAAACATTCACATGTTCTTACAGTTGAACCTATGTAATACCTAAAAATAAAGACAAAATAACTTAAAAATGTTGCGCATATTCATTGTGCAATCAAATCAATAAATGTTCATGGTTCGCTTCGTACTTAAAGAAGAAACAAATGCTTTATTAAATTCTTAATTATTGTTATTTTTAATTAATAATTTGTTATTTTTAATTAAATATTTGTTATTTTTAATTAATTATTAATATACCAATTTCGAAGTTTTAAGGTGGTAGAGGATCTTAGGTAGGAAGGGTCTTTATTTGCGTCGCACTAGAGCTGCACAATGGGCTATTGGCGACGGTCTGGGAAACATCTCTGAGGATGATCCGAAGACATGTCATCGCATTTCTAATCCTCTGCAGAGGGGATGACTCCCCTGTTTTGGTAGCCTAAGGACCTGCAAGCTAAGTCGAGCACTTTACAGTAAAACAGTTTAGCGAGGACCCATACCACACACCCTCGGTCCCTACGCAGACTGATATAAGTGGTCACCCACCGGCACACTGACTGCAGCCAGTGATGCTTGACTTCGGTGTTCTACTGGGAGCCGTGTCTTTACGATCAGTCCACTGCGGGACAAAGAATCTTAGAAATTAACTATTTTATATTAATGCTAGTAACCTTTTTTTTTTTGTAAACAAGATGTTTTATGTATTAAGCTAATAAAAGTTCTGAAAATTTTAGATATTAATTAATATTATTAATTAAATTTCGTGCATTAAAGATAGCTCGAAGATTGACAAAACTTTAACTCCCCGGAAAAAAATATTTCAAAGCTGCGACAAACGGTTAAGAAGCCTTCTCATATTAAATGGTAAAACGTTGCATGAATTGACAAGTCGGTTTTTGGTGGGAAGGAAATCAAGAACTTATATATTGTAATTTAGACATATCTTAGACGATCGGACAAATAGTTTTGAAGTAATGAGGGTTTGATGTACGAAAAAACAGTTTTGTGCTAGTACCTATTTGCGGTTTTTTTTGTATCTCGCTAGCCTAGATACGATGATTACTATGATTTAATTTAGACAAATAAAAAAATTTATAGTTAAATTATTTCTTTTTTTTACCTGATTTCTTCAACATTTATTTAAAAATTCGAATATCACCAATTTATGCGACATTTAAATTTATGTTCATAATAGCAAATAACATTGTTAGATTCTGCAGTTCACTAAACGTTGTGCGAAACTGCATTTCTTAAATTTTAATTCGAATGAATAACGCATGAGTAATAATAGATCCGAGTTTGTTTTTTTTTTACTTTTATAGATAAAAACCAGCGTCTCAACATAACAGAGCAAAAAAATCGATGTAAAAATATTCATGTTTCGTTTTTAATAATGTAATAAGGATCCTTTAAATCTAATATTATTTTTAAAATTCAATTTTCAATATGAGAAGTTTGAGGCAACACTAAACGAAAGGTATAAAAATAAAGTAAAAAAACTTTTAAGAAACAAAAAAAAAAGTCACTAAAGAGTTCGATCTCTTCAACCCCTCTTTATCCCGGAAATTAAAGAATAATCGGCAGAAAAACCGCACACAGAGAACGCTACTTAAGAACATTCAGCCCAGGAGAAAAATATTTTATCGGTGGGTAATAAATCAAACGGAGCGTACATAAAAATAACGCTTTTTCATCTTTTTTTTTTTCACTTACATAAAAATTGTAATAAAAGGAATGAATAATTTCGGTAAAAGCAAAAGTATTTTTTTTTTATTTATTAAAAATAAGATTTTGTGATATTGTTTCCGGATATTTTTCTAACCAACATAGAGATTCTGCGAGATAAGCAAAATGGGGCTGGAATCGGCCTCGGATCTAGCTCACTCCTTTTTCCGTTATTTCTAAGAACAACAATGATGGAATATTTTTTCCAATATCGAACATAGGGGTTTTATTATTATTTGTCCTGCATCTTTACGTATGCTTTTGTTAATCAAATACACAATAAATTACCGCCATTAAACAATATTTTTTTTAAAGATCGTTTGATTAGAAAGACGTTGTTTAAAACTAAAAACAGAATGTTACGTTTCAATCTGCATCCTTTTGTTCTGATTGACTGAACATAATAGAGTTAATTTATTTTAAATTTGAACTAGGGGAGGGGGGGTAGGCTCTACCCTCAGCTCGCTTCCCCTCTTCTTTCCTTACGATTGCTAATGACGATTAACAGATTTAAATAAAACTAAGAAGTTAATTAACAGGTCCCAAAGCTTTTAATTTTATTTTCTACCACTAACACTAAAGTTCGATATTCTTTAACTTGCACATTACCTATTCTATTAGAAATTTCTCGGAAAAAATTGCTAAATAATAATCTATTTAATTGTTATTTTACCATATTTAAACAAAACAGTCAAGTAACCATAAATAAGATGGTAATGAAACCATTAACAGTGAGAAAAATCGTTTATTAACTTTTTTTTTACCTAACATGGTTAAATAAATAGAATTTTACTGCACCAACTCAGTCCGCTTAGTGAAGCAACTTAGTTCCTTGCAGCTGCTTACAAATTAAAGCCGAGAGAGCTAATCTGTCAATCTGATGACCGACAGAACAGGGGTTCGAGTCCGCAGTGTCCTTCATTTCCTTGGAGAATGACATGAAGAATTTCTAGTGTCCTGTACTCTCCAATGCCCATTATCTAAAGAGAAGCCTAGCTCCTATGTCCAGTTCAATTTCTTTTTTTTACGGTTTTGAAACCATGGTAGCTGTAAATGGTTACAAAACCATATAGTCTAGATTTCATGATTTTATAACCATGCTAGTTGTAAACGGTAAAGGTGAAAAATATTCTTTACCGTCAGTGGGACAGATGGACATACTGCTGTCGGTTATTTTACCATAATTTTGGAATGAAAATTCTAAAAGGGTAGATAATCTGCAGATCAATTTGAGCAATCCGTTAAAGTACGGAATCAAATTTCCGAAATTAAAGAAAACCTGTTTTTTTATTTTTAAATTTATTATGTAATTTTAGAGTGTTATGAAAAATCTTTAAATATTTTTCGCTATTGAGTTTATTTAATAATAGTGTGGAAGTTAATTTTTAATATTGCCGAAGAATTAATCTTTTCTGTTCTCTTAATTTTAATAGCATATCGAATACAATTTTTTTTTATATCATATTTTAGTGTTTTATGACACTGCGAATTAATTAAAGGTATTGAAAAATTCCGAATTTAATTTATTAAGAAAAAAAATATACGAACGAGTAAAAAATAATTACAAAATTCACGAAGCAAATAAGATTTGACGTCGAATTCTGCCGAATTAAAAGTTAATAAATGCAGAGCAATATTTACTTTTGATATTCGAAAATTAAAAAAAGTAAAGTTAGGTAAATAAAAATAAATTATTAATTCAGAATGAGTTGGAAAAAAATGAGTTTGATTACATAAAATGAATAGCCAAAATATATACCCTTAGAAATACTTTTAGATAATTTATTCAGTTTTCATACTGAGATTTGATGCATAGAAACTCCACAGAAGAAACTCGTTTTTTTCCGTTCAGTTCAATAAAACAAGTTTAGTATTTAAACAGACATTTAAAATGAATGAAAACCTTTTTTTTTATTACGGTATCCACAATTCAAAAACGAAATGTTTTCGATTTCGTAAACATTTATTACGACTGTTTAAATAATGAGATTTACTCAAATTTCCGCTTGAATGTGCTTCTTATCATTTTTTATTTGTATTTCGAACGCACCATTCCATCATTGTTGAATAAATAAATAAAAAAAAATATTCGAGCACACTATACATTTAGAAAAATGGTAAGATTTTACGCACCAAAACATGCGTTTATATAAAAGTTTATTCTTTTGAAAAGAAAATTACATTCAAAAACATTTTTTGAAAAGAAGAAGAAAAAAATTTTGATACATATAAAACTTAAAGAGCATGTATCAAACAATAAGAAATGAAGGGTTTTTTTCTTTCTCTATTTACCTCTGGCATACAACTGAAACAGAAAGCAGTACATCTATAAACTCGTAAATTTGAGATAAAATGAATTATTGATGCAAGATCTTTTGTGCGGGAGGTACCACGGCATAAAATAAACTTTGCCAAAGATTCTTTTGAAGGATCAAAATCATTGAAAAATCCTATTTGAAATGAGTTTCTCTTTTCCATCTATTCCTAGAGACCATCAACACTGATGCATTTTTCCTTTCGGTATAAATGGGAAACGGAAGTATCCTGTCAAAGATGCTTTGGCGATTTTTTGTTGTTTGGCGTTGTAAAAGAGTGAGGAATGGATGCAAATACCTTCCGAGCACAAAAAGACACTTAAAGTATTTTCGATTTTGTTAGGAAGAGATAAAAAAAAAATAAAAAATATATGCCCCCGCTTTATTTTGCTAGGCTTTGTTGAAGGGTGTTTTACTTTTTGTACCTGTCCCCCTACAATGTCTATGGGATTTTGGATGGATCAAGATATACATCTATCAATCTGCGTCTATTGCTTCGGTTGTCGATAGGTATTTGAGCGAAGTCTGAATAACCAATAGTCTGATTTCGATTTTTGCAGTTAGTATTTGCGATTTTTGTGGAATGCGTCTTTTGATTTAACTATATGCATAAAATATATTCACGTTATTGTTGAATATGCCTAACTTTTTTTGGTATATAATGCATATTTTTAGTTTAGAGTTTGGTTTTGATTGTAAGACAAAAAATAAATATTTTTGGGTATTGCACTGCTAGAATTTTCATTCTAAAATTACGGAAAAAAAACCTGGCAGCAGACTGTCCATCCAATTAACAGTAAAAATTACGGAGAAGAACATTTTTTTCTCTTTATGGTTTTGAAACAGTTTGCAACTAGTATGGTTTAAAAAAAACATGAATACAAAACTATACCGTTTTTAAACCATTTACAACTAGCGTAGTTTCAAAACCAGAAGAAAAGAAATTTAACTGGACATGGAAATAGTTTAGCAGCTTTATAGTGCTGCCATCTATGCGTAAAAGAGAGTATCTTACTCCAATAG